TAATTTTATTTTTGTGGTCACCTTATTATAAGAACTTCTGGTTTTCCATTCATGGCAGTGATACAAAGTTTCCTTTTGAAACTTATTTTAGTAAAACTTTGTGAGTGCTTTGAAGAGAAAAATTAAGTGCAAGTTCTTTGCTGGTATAGAATTACTCTCACATGCAGAGGTGAGTAAGAATGTTCCATCAGCTGGGAGTTGTTGAGTCACTTAGTTATCCCGACAGTGGGAGAGGGTATGGCTCTGAAAAAGAGCGAGCAGGGTCTCTGTGCTGATGGTCACCAAGACTTGTGGCTGAGTGGCAAAAGCACAACGCTGAGGGGGTGACATTCCACCGTTTGTGAAAGACAAGGTGGAGAGAATGTACCTACGTGTACACTCCAAAAGCATAGTGGATGGAAGACTTAACATCCACTGTAAAAAAATTCATACTTTTTAAGTGGGAACATATGAATGTGTTATGTTATCTATTCAGAGAGATTGATAAGCTTAATGTTTTCAAATAAAATAAAATGGCAAATCTCCCCTTTTAAATAAATGAAACAAAGCCAGTGCCTAGGAGTAGGAGGGACATTCACCTCTCCCTGGACTGTGGGTCCACTAGGAGGTACGCCGCACCTTCGTGGTCCTGGGGTGCGGTGGAGACATCTGTGAGCCCACCTGCTCTGCCCCTGGGATACCCAGATGGAGACTTGGTCCCTATTCCCAGTGTCCCTGTGAGCCCCTGAGCCCCTTGCAGTAGGGCCAAGGCACATTCTTTGGGGTCCGGTTCCCTAGTACAGCACCAAACACCCACGTGTTTGTGTAACTGGGTGCCAGAGTTCTTCAGCTCACGGGCCTGGCCGGATTGGAAACATGCACACCTCTGTACCGAGAGGTGCTGTGGGAAAGCCTTCGACTTGCCATTGCCCTTCCGAGATGATTGTCACCACCTTGGGCATTAGGCAGAGCTGGCTGACCAACAGCATGGCCTGCTGCTGCTTCCCCCCGGAGGCCCTGAGGCCCTTTGTGTTTGAGTATGGAAGAGATTAACGTTTCTCTTTATTTAATCTTAAATACACAAATAACATACCGCTTTTCCCTTTAAAAAATCAGACCATTCCATAACAATGAAAATGACCTTGACCCTGTACCCTGTATCCCAACAGGTATCACTGCACCCGCCAGACATTTTCTTACATTTTCTTTTACATCCACATGCTTGAACCCATAGAAAATATACAGTTTCATTTTGTGTGGTTTAATTTTACACAAATTGTGTTACACTGCATGTGTCATGCTGCAAATTGCTTTTTCCACTCAACAGTATGTTCTTGAAATACCTAGAGATCTAACTGGTTCCTGTCATTGCCATATGGCTTTGCACTGAATAAATATACACATTTTTTTTTTTAGGCTTTCTTCTGTTACTGGATATTACAGACCCAAATCCTGCTGTCAGCATTCTTATTCATGTCCCTTGGCCCACAAGTGTGTTTCTCTTGGGAACTTACCAACTAGAGGGTCATATGGTGTGAAACTTTCAGTTTTAATAAATAATGCTAATTTGCCCTTCAGAATGGCTATGTTAAGTGATTCTCCTCCTAGCAGTTTTTGAGAATGCCAGTTTGTTTGTCCTCACCAATCCTTGATGTCATTGGACATTTTTGTTTCTGCCAGTCTGGTGGGTAGAGGACGGTCTCTTGTTTGATGCTTCCTCACTTCTCAGGAGGGTGAGCACCTTTGTGTGTGTTTGGTGGCTGTCCCCATTCTCTCATCTGTGGGTGGCCTGTGGGAGCCCTTCACTTTTCCTACTTTACTCATCTCTTGCCTCTTAGAGATACTTTGCATATATTCCCCCTCGTCTGTTATGCATGAAATTGTAAAGTCACTTGTTACATATGAGTTAAATTTTAATTTTGATGGAGTTAGTTTATCAACCTTATGCTTATTTATTTGTACGTATTGATTCTTGTTCCTTTTTAAAGAAATCCTTTCCCTCCCCTGAGGTCATGTGGCTACTCTCCTATGTTGTCTTCTGGTAATTGTCTGTAATTTTCTTTTTAATAGAGTCCTAGACCTCACCCCTTTTGAGGCGCCTCGGTGGGAGAAGGCCCGGGCGGTGGCAGTGAGATGCGGGCAGTGCGCACAGCTGCCCTGTGCCTGCGCTGGCTTCCCCTGGCCACGGCCACTCCTAAGGGGCGGGCGGCGAGGCTCACGAGCCTCCGGTACCTCCGCCTCGGGCACGGCTCTCCCTGGCTCCGAGCCACATTCCCAGGCGCCTGCATGAAGGCCGCAGGCGGAGGACAGGCTCTGGGCACAACTGGGTTGCCTCAGCAGCTGTCTCCTGGGTCCTCCTCCTCCCAAGACATCGTGGCTGTCCTGAGGTGGCCAGACAGCCCCCATCCCCTAGACAGAGCAGCTGAGGGCCGGGGTGGTGAAGGAGTTCTCTAAAATGACACCGGAGAGGACCCCAAACGGGTCCCCCAACCAGCATCCCCTTTCTCCTCAGTCAGGCGCCCTTCTCTTTAGTCCTGGGAAGCCGCTGTGTTTCTCCTTAACTGCCCCACAGGTTCTGAAAGGCCAGGGCTCCCTCCCTCTCAGAGCGGCCCTGTCTCATGGTGACAGTTGCTTTTAGTTTTCTTATGAAATCTCTCACAGGGCTTTGATGCCTCAATTGCACTGCTGAAAGTTGTTCCGCTTTGGGGTTTAGCTCTTCCTTTTTTTGTTCTTTGTGGCAGAGGTGGTAGGTCTTTTTCCCCTGAAGGCCCTGAGGCCGCTGGGCTTTAGGAGGGGGTTGCCTACTGACAAACCCACTGTCATCAGCACGCCCCACAGATACCAACACCTGTGGCCGTGCCTGCTCTCCCAGGGCACGCCCTTTGTGAGTGTAGGAAAGAAGGCACACTTGTCCTGTTTAGGCGGGGAGGGGAGCGGGGAGAGAAAGAGAAAGGAAAAAAAGGAAAGGAAACGCATGCTATATTCATTTAGTTTTGTTTTCTGTTCTTAAAAAGTAAAAGATTCCCACTGAGAAACATGTCTTAAGTATTGAGTAAAGAAAATAAATGATACCTACCACAAAGAACATGTTTATAAGAATGAAAATGATGACTTACATTTCTGATAATATAGATATCTTCCAGTATGGAACCAGAAATTCTGGATAAAATAATTTTTGGAAATCTTTTCAAATACTGGCTGTACTATTGGGAAAGGGAGGAAGGTTCTTGCCTTCTAGATAGTAAGAAAGTGCAGTCCAGAGACCTAAGCCTGTGTGGTGCTGGCATTTGCCATGGGAAGAAAAGACAGAAACGTGAGGCCTGGAAAAGCTGAGAAGACAGATTGGAAGACATTCATCCCCATGAGGCCAGAATCCCCAAAAGATTATGCTCTCAGAGGGTTAAACTGAAGTGTGCATGGGGAGGGGGTGCCTGAGGGAGAGGAGAAATGGATCTATCATTCCTTAGATCTAACTGAAAAGTAAAAGTGGTGGGGGGAGCCTTGCCGAATACCTGAGCCCAAGTTTGTTATCACATGTGTTTGGCCCAGAATTTATACCATCTTTGTGACCACTCTTCCCCCCACCACCAATAAATTCACGCTGAATATTAGGTTATAGTGTTCCTGATAGGACTTATCCGGGTGATGGAAGTCTTCTACAGCTGCGATGTAGTTGTGCACAGCTGTAAATTTACTAAAATCCAAACTATACACTTAAAATGGGTGAATTTGATGATAAAATTTTTACCTCAAAGCTGTCTTCTAATCAGAGACTTCTTTTAAGATTTTAGTATAGTTCTCTGCACTTGTATTTCTTTGTAGGTATATCTTTTCTTTTTAATATGTCAAAATCATAGTAAGAATATTTTCATCTAAAATTTTAATGTCTTTTCCATTGTCACTGCAATTATTTGTAAATAAGATTTGTAGTTGGATTTTTAATATATATTTCAAATGTACATTTTTAATACTTTCTCATTTTAAAACAATTTCAAACAAAACAGCTATATAGAGAGCAAAAATTAAAGGTTATTGATATCTCCTCTCCCCCCACCAACCACACACACACACACACACTCCTACCCCCAATTCTCACTCCCCCCTCCCCATAGGTAACCACTGTTCAGTTTGTTTAAACATAATTTTTAAATGGGTATATAATTTTCCATGTGATGGGGAAAAAATCATACTCAAAATGTTCCCCTGTTTGGGGGCATTTAGGTGTTTCCTGGTTTGGCTGTTTCTTTTAAGACATATAGCAGAGGATTCCATTAGAGGGAACTCAAAGCAGTCAGTAGACTTAATGGTCCTGGCGATTTCATTGTCATCAGAGTAGGCACTAAATTAGACATCAAATTTGAAGATAATTTTCAAGTAAGAGAAGGGACCCAGCATACACTGAGGACCCCATCCTGAATTCCTAAATTTTTTACCTGTTTGTTCTCATTCAATGCACCAAATGTCTGACGAAAGGGGACATTGTTCTCATCTTCCAGATGGAAAACTGGTTCAGAGGGGCTGGGCGCCTTGCCCAGGATCACACAGCATCTAGTGCAGAGCTCAGTTCTACATTGCCAGACACCAGTTTGAGGGCTTGGTTGTTCTGTAACCAAGCAGGGGACTCTTCCCTTGCTGTCTTAATTTAGGCGAACACCATCACAGTGTAAACCTCTAGTGGCCTGCAAGGAAGCGCTGAAATGTTACCAAGGTTCTTGGTTTATTTTTTTAGCTAGTCTGAGCACCTACTGTGTAGTAAACATTGCACTGAGGCTCTGTGTGCTTTATATCAGGCCTCACAGATAGCACTCTGAGGGGGATGGACGGCATTCCCATTTTTCAAATGAGGAATCTGAAGCCCAGAGAGGTAAAGAAAGTTGCCTAGTTTGACTCAGAGGAGGGACTCAACCCAGGTGTGTGTGATTCCCAGTCTGGGCTCTGACCACTGGACTCTGCTGCCCAGTGTCTCCATCAGGCTGGGAAGCCAGACTCCAGCTCATTCTGCTCTCTCTCCCTCCTCCCAGACAACAGCGACCTGATTGCCTGCACGGTGATCACCAAGGATGGCGGCATGGTCCAGCGATTCCTGGCTGTCGATATTTATCAGATGAGTCTGGTGGAACCCGACGTGTCCAGGCTTGGCTGGGGAGTGGTCAAGTTCGCGGGCCTCCTGCAGGTACGGTGGCCAACAACTCCAAAAGCTCCTCTCTGCTGACTGTACAAACACACACAAGTGTCATCTTTACAGTTAATTTCTAGTAACACAAGGGCCCGAAAAAATTAAAATATCTCACAGATACGGGTCAAGTCCTCTTTGACCCAAACCCAATTCTTACACTCCCCTCCTCCCGTTATCAGTAATCCTTCCATATCTGGTTCTCTATTAAATGCATATTTAAATATAACTACCTATACTGTTTTTAAAAATTATGTACATATACCTGAGAGGGGTACATGTGTGTATTTTTTATAGTGTGACATTGAATGTAGTCTAAATTTTGCCTTTTTCACTCAACATTTTTTATCTCTTGGAGAACTAACCATGTTAATATGTGCAGGCTTACTGATATTCTTTTCATTGCTGCCTGACAATACCAAGGCATAGTTAGCCAGTGCCCTGTGGCTCTTTCTAGCTTTTTACCTTTATAAACAGTGCTGTGGTGAACAGAATTGACCTTACTTCCTGCGCACTTGGGCAAGGGTTTCCCAAGGCTGATCCCAAGAAGTTGGGGTATGGCTGGCTTCAGTGTTCATGGACACTGCTAAATTTTTGTTCGAAATGATTGTTGCTGCTGGCAGTATGTAACCATTCCTTTGTCCCCACCCCTTCTTCAGCAGAGCTGGGCTCAAAATTGCCAAAAGCCAAGTCGGGGGTTGCGTTTTCTCAATGTTTATCTCTGTGATAGGTGAGTAATGCCAGCTGGTTCATTGACTGAAGTGCAGAACTGGAAGAGTTGAAACCAGCCTTCCAGGTCATACCTCCCACAGACCCCAGTCCCTGAATGCCCAGTGCACTCTTACAGACCTGAGACTCGCCCTGCCCTGAGGCAGGCCTTTCCTTGCTGGGCAGGCTGGTAGCTGGCAAGGCCTTGCTCAGGCTGACCCACATCCTGCTCTCCGCAGTGGGACCTGCCACAGCGTGCTGCTCTCCAAGAGAACCACCCACGTGTTTAAAGATGCCTTGCAACCTTTTCCCCAACCTCCTCTTTTTCAAGATCTTTCCATTTAAAAAATGTCTTTTACCAAGGGTGATGTGAGAAAGAACTATATGAAGAATCTTTTATTTATAAAAAGACTTCCATGTAAGTGGTTGTCCATTAGGTGACTTAGTGCTTTTTATTTATCTAGGCTTATGATCAATTTCCTTTAGAATTCAGTATTAGGAAAGTGTTTTTCTTCCTCGAAGGATTAATACATGTCCTCCATCAGACAATGAAAGCCACATAAACCTTTTCTTTTGGTGATCTTCCAATAGCCACTATTTGTCAGGCCGTTACTGTGTGCCAAACTCTCCTTTTTAAATGTGTAATATCTCATCTAATCCCCACTGCAGCATTTTCATGCAGGTATTTCCACAGAGTCTGCACCAGATTTAATGCCTATGAACAGCAACCATCTTAATGAGCCTTTTTTCAGCGCTTTTCCCGCCTCCTGTCTGATGTTTGTGTCTATCTCCTGTCTCAGGCTTTTATCTTAAATCACCTCAAACCTTTGTGGGAAGCACATTTTTTACGCAGAATCCGTCCTAAGGTTTTAGATTGGATTTATCCTTAATTACACTTGTTGTATGTGAGTTCCTTCTCCAGCTTTAAACACAGTTTTCCTCAGATGCCTGCTGATTGACCCTCCCTTCTCTTTCTTGGAGTTAGCTCTTTCCTTCAGGAACCAGAAATTCTTCAGAGACATGCAAACGGGTGCTAATGATGCCCCCTTCTTAAGAGAAAAAGGAAGAAATTGGTTTGTAGATGAGTCAATATATCTAATATCGTGCCAGATGGCAAAGAGATTTTGGGTTGTTATCACTGGCTTCTCAGAAGTAACAAATTTTGGAGTTTGACTGTTGGGTGACCAGGGCCCCTTGAAGAGGCTGGTGCACCCTGTACCCATTTGTTCACTGGCTGACTCAGGTCCTCCTGTGGACAGTGCCACCACCACAATCAGCATTGCTCCTTTTAAGTGCTCTGTGCTTCCCATGCTGTCTTCTCCTGCTAGGCCTGGTCTGGCTTGTGTCTGTGCTTGACTGTCTTAGACTTGGGTGGCTGATGGTCTCCTTCAGAACAAAAGCGAAGTTGAAATTGGAGGTGGAGGGCCTCTTGTAGATGAGATATCTATCCCACAGCTTCTGAGCAGTCACCCTCATGGACCTAACAAACCATTTTCTGTCACCTCTCCCTGCAGGACATGCAGGTGACTGGTGTAGAAGACGACAGCCGTGCCCTGAATATCACCATCCACAAGCCTGCATCCAGCCCCCACTCCAAGCCCTTCCCCATCCTCCAAGCCACCTTTGTCTTCTCAGACCACATCCGCTGCATCATCGCCAAGCAGCGCCTGGCCAAGGGCCGCATCCAGGCGAGGCGCATGAAGATGCAGAGGATAGCTGGTGAGTGGTGGTCCTGGTGCAGTGTCCTCTGAGCCCTTGGGGAAGAAGCAGCCACAGCACTGTCAGTATGGTTCCCACATTGACCTTGAGAAGCCTCATAACTCCTCCGGAAAAGGACATATACTGTTCAGGAATTAATTGTGTTTTGGTGAGAGAATGGAGAATCTTCTCAGAATTTCCTACTTCCTAAGTATTGGATTTCTAGAGAGTTTCTAGGGCTTTCTGGAAGAGAAGAGAGCTCTCCTGACCCAGGGAGAGGCCTTGAAAAGGCAGCCATCATTGTGGGATGAGTCGTCTTCACTCCGGCATAGATATTCTCCAGCTGATGTTCATAAAATGCTTCACCATTCCTGTACCACCTTTGATTCTTAAAATAATCCTTGAGATTGGTAGGGCCTGTTCTGCCCATTTTATAGACAAGTAAACAGGCTCCATGACTTGCCCAACATCACACAGGCAGCTAATTGGAAAAACCCAAATGCAGAACTTCCTACTCTAACGCCTATCTCTTCCTGGCTCCCATGAGAGTTCTCCCTGCTTGGTGAGGGCCTAGGACCCAGCCCTAAAATCAGAAGTCATTATACATTTCACAGGAATTATGGAGAATTTGCGAGGAGGCCCACTCCTCTCCAGTGTCAGGAAGCCCCTAGCCTTCTTAGAAGTAAAGACACTGAGATGAGGGCGTTCCAGTCGTCAGGGGGGAAGGCTTAGCATTTTCCTTGGGGAAAAGGTGTTCTATCAACTACTAAAATTATAGTCTTACTCAAGACATCAACGCCTTTTTGTTCAAGCGCTGATGTTCATTTCTGGGAGGCTTTCCAGCCCCCTGGGGGAGGAAGAGAGCTTTCTCTACCTATAAATAAAGACGCGGAGGGTGGGAATTCTGGACGTTGTGGATTGTTATTTCTGCACACGCCCGTTGATTTGTGCAGTCCTGCATTCCATGTAGTCCTCATCTTATTTCTCACTTAGCTGAAACTTGGCCTGCAAAATCATTACAGAAGCATTTGTAATGCGCAAAGCGACTTAAATCATTCAGTCCTTTCTTTTAAGATTTATTTTCATAGAGGTTTTTTTTTAAATGTAAAGCAGTTTCTCACAGCTGCCATGAAGGCTAAATATTTCATTTGAAAATTAAGAATTATGCCATAAAGTGGCTGTGAGAACTAACGCCTTGGGTATTTCTTCAATTGATTTTTAAAAGCCCCTCCAAATTGCTATATCATGAGATTTGTTTATGGAAGGGAGGAAGCAACTGTGACAGATAAACACACACTCATAAATACACACATGCATATGCGCATATCTCCTCTCACACATTCTTCCCTATGCTCACATATCTGTGAACTTTCAGGGCAGAACTGGCCTCATTTGCCTTGGGGTCTGAAACTGTACCTCAGACTAAGCCTTGGCCTTGTGTGTATGGAATCCAAGAAACCTCTGTGCACCCTGGCCCTGCATCCTTGTCTGAACCCATCAACGGCACCAGCTGTGTTTTGAGGCTCAGGCAAGACCTGTGGTGTCACCTGGTTTCCCCAGCTTGAGGCTGCCAGTTGCCTGCTTTGCATCACCCAAGGGATGTACCTGGCAGGGCCATGGCCACTCCAGCTACAACCACCCCACCCAAAGTCTCATCACCTACCCTTTTGTCCCATTCACTGAGCATGACCACCGGTTTGTTTGAATGTAGCCCTCCTGGACCTTCCGATCCAGCCGACCACTGAAGTCCTAGGATTTGGACTCGGCTCCTCCTCTTCCTCCCAGCACCTGCCTTTCCGATTCTACGACCAATGCCGCCGAGGCAGCAGTGACCCCACAGTGCAGCGCTCTGTATTTGCATCCGTGGACAAGGTGCCAGGTGAGCTGGCCCCACCCTGCGCCATTGCTTGTCCCCCCTGGGTGTTCCAGAGCTTTCCCTCTGTTGAGCCTATCTATGTAAGCTTCTCCCTTCTCCGAAATGCAGCCAGTTGGAAGCACCAGGTACATTTCTTAGAATTTATCAAAGTATAGCACAAGATTAAGCACAAGCCACAGAAAGAAATTTTGGCTTTCTCTTTGGTGTTCTGCTGCTGGGCTTTGGTTTTCCAGAGATTTGTTGGGGATGTAGAAGGACTTCTCAGAATTAAGAAAGAAGTTTCTTGGAAATACTTAGATGATTAGTAAAAAGGTTGTGGGAGAGTAATTTCCTTCTCCATGTAGGATGACTAGAAAAAGATAGTGTGTGTGGTTTCTGCTACAACCACCTAAAGAAGTGAGACTTCAGAAGAAGTCCCTGCTGCCCCTGGGGCGGCTTCCAGTGTCTCCTATATGGAAGCCTCTCTAACCACTTTCACAAAGCTCATCTCTAACCCCCTCCTTTCCGCTCCCAGAAAAGAAACATGAATAGAAAGTTCAAGGTACACTTGGCGGAGCAGAAAGAACTGCTTCTCCAGAAACACAGGCTCTCCCCTTCCTGTTCCAACACTTCTGATTTAAGCAAATCCATATGTACCCCCATCCCTCAAAAGAGAACTTTGCTCTTCACTGCAAAACTTCAAAAATGGGCCCTGTGCCCCCTGCAACTTAACCTCCTCACATTTAGGTTTTCACTTCAATCCCAAATGTTGCAAAATGTTTTCAAAAGCAGTTATCTATTTAAAAACAAAATACAGCCATAAGAACCTGTCTAATAGCAGGATCCTTGTTTCCCTTCCACCCCGTGAGTCATTCTGTTTTCATTCTTTGATTTGCTTAATCCATTTTAGAAATACATATACTGTAAGCATGTATTTGAAAATTCAAACAGAACATGATAAAATGAAAAATAAGTCTACTTGGCCCTAGAAGTAACCACTTTTAACAATTTCATTACATATCCTTCCAGAAATGTTTCTTTGTATCTCATTATATGTGTCTTTGCTTGTCTGTTTTTACACGGGGGGTTATATACCATGTATGTGATTCTGTGCGTGGATGGTTTTACTTAATAAGGCAGCATTACATCTTAGCACATATAAATCGACTTCATGCTCATTAACTTGGTATTTTATGATATGGAGGGACCAAAAAAATATTTTATAAATTTGGTACTGATGGCCATTTGTGTCATTTCCAGTGTTTAGCTCTTGCAGTGTCACCATGCACCTCTTCAGGGTATCTATGTAGTTGTACAAACCTCACGTGTCAGTGGGATGAACTCCCAGCAATGGATCTGCCATCAAAGGGGAAGTTTTTTATCTTGATATATGTAGTCCCAGCGTGCACTGGAAAAAGTGCACCAGTTTATGCTTCCAGCCAAGCCGGGGCTGTTTTATTCTTAAAACTAATCTTAGGCTACGAGACTGATTGTCGCACTGCCTGTTTTCAGCTATGAAATGTGAGGTGATTCCACCCCTCTGGGATCTGAAGGGCTCTTTGTTACACATTCTCCAGGTTGCTTCTTGTTCTGTAGAGATAGTCACTATGTACATACAAATGATGACCATGAGTCTAGGTTAACTAAATACAGATTGGCCTGGTAAAAAATCAATTCTTCCTTTCTTTCTTCTTACCTCCCTCCCTTTTTCTTTCTTTCTGCCTGTCTGTCTTTTTCTTTCTTTCTCTCTCTCTCTCAATATACAAGTTGTAATTTTATTATAAATTTAGAGGCACCACTTTGTAATTTTTTATTGAGATACAGTTGACATTTAACATTATATTAGTTAAGAAATTATTTAGGGTCAGTGGGGCTTCTTTCAGCTCGGGATGTAATGGGTTAAGGAAAAAAAAGCCCTGGCCTTATTTCCGCTCCATCTTTTTTGAGACAAGGCAAGTGTAAGTAAATAAATAGAGCCAAATGTCACATTCTTCAGCATCGGCATAATCATCTCTCTGTTTGCAGCAGGCCTCACAATGACTTATTGCTTACTTCTCCCACCCTTCTGGGCCCAGGGTTGCTATGGGGTCACCCAGTACTGGGGCGGGGCCATGTCTACAGTGGCCTGCCTGGTAGAGGAGTTGGCACAGCTGGAATGCCAGTGTCCTGTTCCTGGTGCCAGGAATGGGTATGTGAGGTTGGGCCAATTGGAACTGTGGCCCAAAGGTAGTTGCTTGAAGGTGGCCATCCACCCTTTGGCTGTGTCTCTTCCCTGGAAGTGCCACTCAGGTGTGGGCTGGGGTGGGAAAGTGCTCATAGATGTGCTTTCCAGGTTGACTGTTCTGGGCCCTTGGATAGAGAGGCGTCGCACCCCTCCTGCCTTGGCCTCGGCTAGAGATGAGACCTAAAGAGCAAGATGAAACCATTGAGACTCATCATCACTCAGAAACAGGGAGGGGAGCTTTCCCTGGCTCCCACCCTCCTCACCACCTGCTGTCTCAGTAGTTGGCCCCACAGCTGAGCCACCCAGCATCTCGGAATCATCTGAATCCTGCTCTTCCCTCTCCCACACCCACTGGCCTGCTCTGCTTCCAGAATGTATCACACTTACTCTCCCCCTCCCAGCCTCCAGGATCTCCCCCTAGATCATGGCAACAGCATCCTACGTATTCTCTGGCTTTCAGTCTCATCCCCTCCCTCCCATTCAGCCAGAGGGAATCTTTCCAGAACAGAAATCAGATCATACCACACCTTTACCTGCAACCCTCCAGTAGCTCCCAGTTGCACTTAAAATCCAAATCTCTCACTCTGATCCTGTGTGATCACTATGAGATTGGCTCCGGCTGGCTCCTCAGATGCAGCTCCCCTACCTCACGGTCATACCATCCCTGCTGCTCCTCTAAGTCAGCACTTGCCAAAATTTTGGCCTAAGGACCCCCTTATATTCTTTTCAAAGGTATTGGGGAACCCAAAGAGCTTTGGTTTATATGGATTATGTCTGTTGATATTCTGGGGTTAGAATTTTTTTTAACCCTCACCCGAGGATATTTTTTCCATTGCTTTTCAGAGAGAGTGGGGGTGGGGGGCAGAGAGAGAGAAACATCAATGAGAGAGACACATCGATTGGTTGCCTCCCGCACATGCCTCGACCAGGGCTGGGGACCCAGCCTGCAGCAGAGGTACGTGCCTTTGGCTGGAATTGAACCCGGGATCCTTCAGTTTGCCGGCTGACGCTCTATCCACTGAGCCAAACCGGCTGGGACCAGGATTAGAAATTAAAACTGAGAAATGCTTTAAGCATTTACTTATTTATGTTTTAAAAAATAAACTCATCAGAAACAAATAACATGTTTGTTTGTTTTTATGAGCAACAACTCTTTTTTCCAAAACAACAATAAAACTCATGTCTTCTATTTTTGCAAATCTCTATCTGGCTTTTTAGAAGATAGCTAGATTCTCGTGTCTGCTCCTGCTTTCTACCTGTTGTAATAGCGTACATTATGTGTCCCCTGGAAAACTCTGTATACTCCTGGGAGAATGGAAATAGAAGGAAAATGCTGTCTTGTTATTTTTATGAAAGTAGTTCTGACTCTGGGAGGTCCCCAGGGTTCCCCAGACCACAGTTTGAGAACCACTACTTTGAGAATCACTGAACTCTCTCCTGCCTCAGGACCTTTGCATTGGATGTTCTTCTCCAGACCTGTGTGACTGCCTCCTACTAATTACTTGGGCCTCAGTCTCCTCAGAGAGGCCTTTCCTGATCACACACTCCCCCCTGAAAGGTTACCCCCTTTCCTCCATCACATTAACCTGGTTTATTTTCCCTGTGACTTTGGATTCCTAACTGGCCAACCTGTCTGTGTAACTGTCCATGGTCTTTCTCCCCCTTGGAGATGGCACTTCCATGGGAACCAGGCTGTCCTGCTCCCACAGTATCAGTGCCTGGTGCTGGACCTTCATTCACTAGGCGCTGAGTGAAGAATGAGCACAGCCTCGCAGCACTTCCCACCTACGGCTTTCTCCCTCTGTGAACACCAGGGAGACGAGGAAGTTCCCCTGGGGCCCTAGATGTGAGTGGTTTGGTCTGTGGCACTTTCACAAGGGAACATGAGGGAACTGAGACCCCAGAAGATTGTAAGCAGCATTCCCCTGCTTAATTTCCGTCACCAAAGTGAGCGAGATGTGCGTCCTGGGAGGGCAGATGCACTGGATGGTAGATTTGGGTCGGTTGCTCATCAACTGAATTTCACTGCCCTCACCTTTCTCAGAAGTTTGCAAAAGCCAAAGAGTGGGCTGGAGGGAGTCATCAGAAGCACGGCCCAGGCTGGTCTCCAATGCTGTGGCCCGTGAGCCCAGGCGTATTGCTGTGGCCCTTGCCATAGGCTGCACTGTTGAAGACTCCCAGGCTGTGCAGGGTCCTCACTCTGGCCACCTGCCTCAGGGTGAGTGCTGGAGAAGCTATCGCTGTCGTAACACATCTTCCAGTTCTATCTGCAGGCCCAAGTAATTGTCATAGAGCAGTTTGTCTCTCCTCTAGAAGCTATAAATGATTATATTTGATGAAAATATGCCTTTCATTTCCTTGGAAGAGATATTAAAGTAGAATATAAATCAGGGCTAATAGACGACTAGCTACTTTGGTATATTTTTCTTCTTCCATTTGGCTTGGAAAAAAATCACAAATTCTATTTGTTGGCTGGTTTTATGTTGATGGCTCTTGCCCCCATAGAATGTTCAGCTCCATGAGGGCAGAGGCGTGTGTGTGTGCCTGGCCTGGGAGGGAGGGGCCTGTGGTGACCCATGTGTTGGGGTGGGCAGGCAGGAGTGGTTCTAGAGTCTGGCTTTGAGGTGCAGCCTTCCATGGTTAGTGCCCTCAGGGACCTGTCTCACTGGCCTACAGTTTCAGCTGATTGCTGAAAACTGCCAATGGTGGAGAGGGGCAGGGGTGAATTTCCAAATGAGCCCACCAGGGCAGTCTGTCCAGGAACACCGAGTGGACCAGCAGACCCCAGAACAGAAGCTGC